GGCAGTGGCGGGAGTCGGCGCTGTGTGGCCACCTGCCTGGCTGCCGCTACAAAGCAGAGCCCTTGCTGGAGTGCAGGGCCAGACAGGCTGGGGGCGGGGGCAGCCAGGGGAGGCTCGGAGGCTGCTCAAGTCACCCTTCTGCTTCCTGCACCCAGCCAGGGTCTGTGCATCTGATTTAGCAAATCCAGGGTCCCTGTTCAATCTAAGTTTCAGACAATGAATAATTCTTTAGTCTGCATGTCTCCTATGTAATACTTGAGACATATACTCTGGCAAAAAGAAAAATTAGTTTATCTGAAACTGGCTCGGGGTGTCACCGGCTCCTGCTCCCAGCATTTAGCTGGCTGAGTCCACAGCAGGGCAGTCATTGTCTTTGGCTGTCCACAGCCCCTCCTCCCTACGCCAGGCAGTCAGAAGCCCCTTGCAGGTTGGAGTGAACCTGTCCCTCTGCTGAAGCTGGGGCCTTCTCCCATTCAGAAGTGAAGAGGTGCCCCACAGGGGCTGTGCCAACCCAGGCAGAGGGCGTGCAGCATGGGACCCGCTGTCAGGCCACTCCCAGATTCTAAGCACGTTAGGGACTCATAGAAGACAGAAAAAGAATCTTCACATCAAAGGCCCTGCCAAACCCCGGCTGGCACGGGAGCCACGCGGCCAGGCACCTGCTGGGCTGGGCAGGCCCTTCCCGCCCTCCCTCCAATGGAATTCCCCAGAGCCTGGCCCTGCTGCCCTGGCACGGTGCCTGGCAGCTCAGGAGCATCTTGCTGGGATGATAGTGCTTCTGGGACTTGGCAGCCAGGAGCACCTGGAGCCCCCAACAGCTCCCTCAAGGGCGGGTGGGCACCCGGTAATCAGTGGATTAGTTGCTGGGCAAAGAGTCCCTTGGGTTCCGGCTTTGATGGGGCAAAGAAAGAGGATGCCTCTGTGGTCTGGGAGTGCCAAGGGAGGGGAGGGAGGCAGGATGCACCCCTGGGGCTCCCTCCCCAGCCGCCAGGAGAAGGCAGTTCCCCAACAGGCGCTGGTGGGGGGCGTACTGGCATCCTCTCCAAGGGTAGCCGGCTAAGGCTGGACAAGCATCGTGGGCGGCCATGGTGCGGCAACGCTACTGGATGACAGGTCACTCCCCTGAGGGAACTGGGCTCAACACACTCCCCAGCCAACTCTTGGGTGCCCCTCTGTGCTCTTCCCAGCCCTGCAGAACCCGCAAGCCTGGCACCTTCTCCGAGCTGCCTAGGCCACTGCCAGCTCCTGCGTCACAGAGAAGACAGAAGTCATAGGGCACAGTTGCCACCTTCCCAGAGCCCTCCCGCCCAGGCTCTGCCCAGCCCCGTCAGGCTGTCCTGGGCAGTGCTGACCACTGGGAGGGGCCCCTTCATGCTGCTCCCTTGACAGATGTGCAGATGGAGGCTCAGAGAGACACAGCCAGGTCTCATGAGGGTGCTTAGGGGCTCCTGCCTGTTTTTCTAACCACCCCACGGCTGCCTGCCGGGTGCCTGTTCCCAGAGTGGCCCCCGCTGCGTCCTTGCCCCACAGCACCTCTTGCCCTTCGATCACCATGGAGGCGAGTACACACACGTGTGCCTGAGTGTGCATGTACATGTGTGTTGAGGAGCCATGGGCGGGACCCTCGGGAAGTGTGTGGCACCAAGTCGGGGGCCCAGCTGTGACGAGGGGTCCCTGCTAACATGGTGGCTGCTGCTGTCCTTGTGAGGACCCCACAAGCCGACAGCTACGATCACAGAACCACCAAGCTTTGGAAGCTGCAACACCTTCTGAGCTCTGCAGCAAACTCACTCAGAAGCCAAACCTATTTTGGAGGCCACATTTGGTGACCGTGACCGCAGGTCCCACTCCATCAGCTCAGGGAGCAGGACCCTGTGCCTAGACTTCTAGGGACAGAACTCACTCCTCCTTTGGTCCAAGCTGGGAAGGCCCAGTCATTGGAGGCTTGGTCTCTCCCACCTGGAAGAAAGTTCTAGAATTCCTGGTGGGATGGGCAGAAAGACTTTGAGGGCAGGTGGAAGAATGGGACATCAAACTGCCTTCCCCAGGGTGGGCAGCCAGCTCCTCACTCATACCTGCCTTTGGGTTGCAAAGTCCTGCCATGCCCACCGACCATTCCTTTGGAGCACTGCACTTAACCTGCAGTGCCCTGGGAACGCCCACCCTGTGTTTCTGGGAGAAAGTGAGCTCTGTGTGCACAGCTCCTCTAACCCCACCTGCACCCCACACCCCCGCAGACCCCTCCAGAAGGGCGCCTCTCTACGGCACACACGCACTTTCAAAGCATGTCGGCTTCACCCGCTTCAAAGCTCACGTTCATGAAAGACATTGCAAAACTCAAACCAAACAGTAAACAAATTAAGACATCTCTAGGACCTAAAAGGATTTCAACACAATGTGAAAAATGTTGGCAAAACATGAAAGTGGGCTTTGTGAGTTTTGAGGAATTACTGAGCTGTGAAAATGAGGCTCAGGCCGGGTGGAGAGGAAGCCCATCTATGTGTGCGTGGTCCCAGCGCCTGCCCAGGGCCCTCCTGTGGCACGAGCAGGACCTGGGCCATGGCGGTGCCCCCAGCAACCAGGTCCCCATTCCTGGAGTTCTGGTCTGCTTGGGGGAGCTGCAGCCGTGCTTCCTTCTGTCCGCTGTGGTCCTGCTCCAGCCCCTGCCCTTCTCTGATGTTTCTTTCAGGCAGATGTCACCCACCCCTTGGGACTTCTCCCCGGGTCGCTAGCCCAGACCCTCCCCTTGGCTCAGGTGGTTCCATTTCTGCCCCTTCGCTGCTGGCCCCCTTCTGAGGATGCCCGTGTGTCTCCAGGACCACGGCTCCAGTCCTTGGTGTAGATCAAAGCTGCCCTTCACATGCGGCCTGAAAATGTAAACCAGCCGTCTTCCAGGCTGGGCTGCCACCTCCACCGCCTCACCCGCGACAGAAGCCCTGCGTTTTTCAGTAACCACGTTCCACAAACACCTCCTGACTGCCTTCCAGACACACAAAGATCAACAAAGCTCAGAATCCAGTCCCGATGCCATGTCATGAAGAGCAGGTAGTCCATCAAAGGGCTGGGCCCCATGAGGGAAGGGTTGAGACCCCACCATGGTGTGCGGCGTTCCAGGCACTCCCGTCACCGCCCGAACCAGGCTGCAGGCTCCATCCCCACGGGGCAGGCACGGAGGAGGGGATTCACGTGGACGCAGGGACACCTGTGGATGCCCCGGCTCGGCCACTTACTGCTGCGCGTTTGTGGCCAGGTCCCCGAACCTGAGCCTCAGTTTCCACACCTGTGAGATGGGTGTGAGGTGGAATCGCCAACCAGCTGAGGATGTGCAGTCACAGACCATCTTCCAGAAATCTCCAAAAGGCTTTCCAAAACAGGAAGATGAGGAAGGCTGCCATCAGCAGGAATTCCAGGGCTTCCAGAATGAGCCTGTCAGGAGTGAAGGGAGCCGTGCTCCACACGCAGGGCAGGGGCCAGGGCTGCCAGGTCTTGTTTATCTGGGAGCACCAGGCTGCCTGCCTGCACCTGGTCTGGGCACCCGAAGGCAGAGCTGCTCCTGCTTAGGGTCTGTGGCGACTGTCCCCCTCAGTGGGTGCTGCTGGGGGCTCCTCTGATTCCTGGTGGGCGGCTTCTGGCTTCGCCTCTTCACCCACGGTGTAGGGTGTGGGATGGAGATGCAGGGACTCTGCCCTCCTTCCCCTCTCCCGGCTCCCCCAAGCAGCCTGGGTTGTACCTCCACTAATAAACACCAACATCCATGCCCAGCATTGGACCCAGATTCCCCTGGGTTCGGCCATGGGGCGATTCTCTGAGTGACACATCATGATCAGCTTCGTGTGGTCCTGACCTTATGGTAATGTTAGCCCCCAGAGCCAGGGGCCGGGCTATGGTACCACCCACCCAGGCGATTTCTGTCAAGACGACCGACTGTCGTGCCATCCCTGGGTGCCAGGTAAACATTCTTCTTTCATGCTTAAAATCACAGCACGGGTTCACCTGCTTCGTACTTGGACCTGTGATCTGTGTATGCTGCTTTTCTACAAGTTTCTAGTTGTCCCCTCCTGGGTCTGGCCCTCCCCTCCTTCCCTCCTTCCCAGAGGAAGAAAACACACCAGCTCTGCAGGCGACAACGCTCCCAGCTCTCCCATCTTCCCATCCCAGGAGCCCCTCGATCCTGCTCCCTGGGGCTGTCAGTCCCGTCCCACCTCAGCGGCTGCTGCACAGGAAGATCGTCCTGGCCCGGCCCCGTGTCTCTGCCTTCCTCATCTCCTGCAGTCTGTGTATCTGTCACTCTTTCAGCGCGCCATCCCTGGACACACTTTGTGCTCCGTGGGCTCCACAGCCCTCAAAGCCCCTCTTATGCCCTCGCTGACCCCAGACCATCTGGGCTGGCTTCTCTCTAGGACACGCACCAGTTCTCATTCCAGAACTTTCCTTATGGTCATCTTTGGGTGGAGCCACCACTTTAGTTCTGATTTCCTGCATCTGGTTGAGTACCCAGGCTTGTCAGTGCACCCCAGGGACACCGCCTCGTCCAGGGCTCCCACATGTCTCAGACTGGCGGCCAGACTGGGTCATATAACCCGCACTAGCCAATGAGCTGTGAGCACACATGAGCACAGGGCGAGCTAGGCTGAGTCGTGTGACTGGCACTAGCCAATGAGCTGTGAGCACACGCGAGCCCAGGCCCACCTAGGCTGGGTCATATGACCAGCACTAGCCAATGAGCTGTGAGGACATGTGAGCACAGGCCCACCTAGGCTGGGTCATATGACCAGCACTAGCCAATGAGCTGTGAGGACACGTGAGCACAGGTCCAGCTAGGCTGGGTCATATGACCAGCACTAGCCAATGAGCTGTGAGGACACATGAGCTCAGGTCCAGCTAGGCTGGGTCATGTGACTGGCCCTGGCCAATGGGTTGTGAGCACAGAATCAGGTCAGCCCCTTCCTGCTGCTTCCCACTGTGTGTGCTCCAAGGGGTAGCGGAGACAGGGCAGGAAACCTTGTCTGATTTGATATGAGAACTAATCCAATGTGGCAGGAAGCCACGGACATGTGGGAGCTGTGCAGGGCAGCGGCCAGCGGCCTTGTCCTGCGGGGCGCTGCGTCCATCACTCGCCTTCAGACCACTGAGCCCTCCTGCCTCCTGATATCCAGGGCTGCCAGTGGGAAATCCCAGGCTGTGCGGCTCCTGTGTGCTTCGAAGGTAACTTTCCTTTGCTCTCGCCCTCCTTGGTCTCAGCGCCCCTTCAGTCTGATGAGATCTGGGAGGTTTTCTGCAAGGCTTTCTCTGAAAGCCTTTTTGGTTAGCCAGATATAGACTCTCCGGGGTTGATTCTGTCTCTTTTCATTCTACATTCTAGAAGATCGTCTTAACTTTATTTCAGTCATGTTAATGAATGTCTTCTTTTAATGCCAGCAATTGCATTTTTAATGTCCAAGCTCTCTGTCTCATTAGTAGCATTCTTTTTATTTCATAAGTGCCGTATCTTCTTGAATACTTCTGAAGACAGTTGTAACTTTAAAAAATTCCTTTCTGTTTCTAGAGGTAGCTCGGTTTCTTTCAGCCTATCTTTATTTTCTTTAGCCTGACTCCTGCAGTTTTCAGGATTTTTGTCAAACATCCAGGGACCCTTAGCTAGAGAGGATGGCATGGGTGACATGCGCAGCTGGCCAGGTACGCTCTGGGCACTTAAGCACCTTGGTGAAGTATCATGAAGACGACGCTGTAAATTGGACTTGGTGTTATCACAGGAGCTTTAGGATTATGGTGTCGGTAGATCTAGGATGATAATCTCCAAAATGCACTCCCCAACCCACTGCAGGGATCCTTTCTCTTGTCGCCTCGCTTTGTGATTTAGAATGCAGGGCCCCCAGGACAGCAGCCTCTCCGTGGCTCAACAGCTGTTAGGAGACCTTGCCTAGTTGACGAGAAAGTCACTTGTGCCTTTCCATCCAGGGTGCGCGACTCTGCTCTCAAGACCCCCTGGAGGCCTGTTCCCCTTCCCCAGCTCATCCGTTAGATGCTTGGAAGTGACTGCCTATACCTTCCTTCAGGATAAAGCCTCAAGCCCTGCAATTGTTCCTTGTGTGATAACGTTTCAAATCCCTTCGTGGTTCTGGCAAAGCTCCTCGAACATGCTCCAGTGTGCTGGGGCTCTGCATGTGTGAGCCTGGAGCCACCAGGGCGCACGTTCATGTTACGGCACCAGTGTGATCCCGATGACACGTGACTGGTGTGGAGCCCCGGGTATTTCCACGGGAACTGCTGTCGGCCGGATCACCTGTGCTCTGCAGCTGCGCCCAGGTCCACAAGCCACCCTTTCTTTGCTGCTCGATGTCACCATTTCCCTTTTTTATTTATTTATTTTTTTTTGAGATGGAGTCTCACTCTGTCGCCCAGGCTGGAGTGCAGTGGTGTGATCGCGGCTCACTGCAAGCTCCGCCTCCCAGGTTCACGCCATTCTCCTGCCTCAGCCTCCCGAGTAGCTGGGACTACAGTCACTCGCCACCACGCCCAGCTAATTTTTTTGTATTTTTAGTAGAGACAGGGTTTCACTGTGTTAGTCAGGATCGTCTTGCTCTCCTGACCTCATGATCCGCCCTCCTTGGGCTCCCGAAATGTTGGGATTACAGGCGTGAACTGCTGCACCCAGCCCACCATTTGCCTTTTTAGCCACTGTACCCGCGTGTCGAGGCCTCCTTGGGAATCCCAATTTCCAGCCCATATCATGGTCTTGGCCCCGGCTTGCAGCTACTTTCACATCTCAAACCTCACCAGCCTAGTCCGACTCCAGGTCAATGACTACTGGTCAGAGGGGCCGTCCCTGCTGAGCCCTGTGGCCACACTAACCCATGACTGAAGGCTCCTGAACCCTTCTTCAGGTCAGCTGTCTGCACACCAGCATGTGGCCACCAGCCCAGGACACCCTTGTAGTTTCCCAGAGTCTTAGCAGCATGCACGTTGCGGTGAGAGGACTGCGCCGGGACCAGTAACACAAGGAACTTGTGCTCAGCTCTGTCCTGTGCCACATCAAACCAAGCGACAGGCCACATTGCTTGGCTTGATCCCAGTTCTGCCACGGGCAGAGCTCTTCACTGCTCTGAGCCTCTGTGTCCTTGTGGGTAACAGAGACCAGTGGCAGCAAGCCCCTCTCAAGGTGCTGTGAGGGTGATGTGGGAGGATGCGGGCAGAGCTCTTGGCACAGGCACTCTACAGAGTCGAGGCTCAGCCAGTGTGAGCTGCTGCCACCACCTACCTCCTGAGGCTGTTACTAAGGCCAGTGGCTGGAAGGAATCTGGCTCACCCCCAACCCTAGTGCACTGAGCCTCACTCTGCCCCCGTGCCAGGAGGCTCATCCCGCCTCTTCCTGGATCGCAGGCACGCTCACCTGTTCCATCCACAGCACTAGCGAGCTCGAGGTATGTTCCTTCTGGCACTGCTGGCTCCTCACCTGGGTACCTGCAGCTCATCTGGGCGGCCACAGCAGCCTCCCAATGGCTCACTCCCTCCCAGCCACTGACCAGTCATTATCGTGCAGCCCTGTCAACCCCATGAGGGCAGGCTTCATGTTTCACTTGCAGCCTGTGGCTCTGGATGGTGACCCTGCTGCCTACTCCCAGCCCCGCTGCCCTGCAGGTGCTTTCCCACTTTCCCAGTCCTCACTTCCTCCTGGTGAGGCCTGGGAAAGTCGGGGGTGTGCTCGCTGATGTCTGCTCTCCTCGTGCCTTGAACATCCACGTAAAACTGCCCTTCCCCACTGGACCATGAGTGCCCGAAGGGTGGGGCTGTGGCCACCTGGATGACGCTGTGCCGCAGCCTGCAGGTGGGCTGAGCACGAGGCACCCCCAGTGCAATGCTCTGCGCACATTAACACGTGTGGTTGGGTGGTCCCTGTGAGCCGCGGCTCCTGGTCCGGTCCCTGCGGGCTTCTCGAGGTGGTCACACTCCCGGTTTCCTAAGCTGCTCTCACTCCTGCTGGGTAGAGGGGCTCCAGGAACCTGTGATCGCTGAACTCCATTTTCCTCCCTTCTGTTTGGAAGCTCACTCCCATGTGCTACCTGCAGGCTTGCCCTAATGAGACGTATGCATGGAATGTTATGTATGGAATGTATGGAATGTTCCAGAATGCCTTCAATCATTTCAGCCGTAAAGCCCCACCCACCACATGCACAGCCTCTTGTCTAATGCAGGGGTAGCTTGGCAAGGCCTGACTGCTGTCGCTGTTTTTCCAGACTCCCTGATGGGGGCGAGGGGTCCGGGCATCACCATCCGCTATGGCTCTGCCCTTATACCAGCCTCACTGGGACGTGGCATGGGGGCAGCTCATGTGGCAAGAGTGGCCTGGGTTAGTCTCACTGCCTCGGGTGCAGAAGGCCCTGAGAACATTTCTGCAGTGGAATGAGTCGCCAGGTCAGGGGGCACAGAAGATTCCGGAAGGACACAAGGGAGGTGATGTCTTATGAGAGGCATGCTTCTAGCAAACAGTGGGAGTGCTGTCACCAGCACTGCAAAGCCCCCGAGCTGCCCCCTCCGGGGAACCGCAGCTCACATAGAGGCTGAGACCAAGGTGGGAGATGCGCCCCCGCCTGTCCCATACCCCGCACCTCTGCTCTGGTCACAGTCCTCGGCACACTTGCTGGGAGCAGGCAGCACGCTGTCCCCGCCCCTGGAGGTGGAACCAGCCGAGGGACACTTGAGGCTTGGAGGGGAACGTCACGTGCTGCCCCGACCCAGCCCCCACACTGGCCTGGGTCAGAGCCAAGCTGCCCAGCTGCCTCTGGGCCAGGGCCCTGACACCCGTACAGACTCGGATTAGACCGCGGGAGCTTCCGAGGGGACAAAGGGCCTGTTCTGAGCCTGGGGACTGCTTTATGGAGAACACCACACCAGGGTGGGGCAGAGCCAGGGTGCACCTCCTGCCTCATTTCCGGGCGCCTGGACTGTTCCTGGGCACACAAAGGCTGCCAGGCAAGAAGGGCTCAGACGCCAGGCAAAGAGCCTGTGCCGTCCAGAGGGGCAGGCCCTGCCTGGGTTTTGGGGTCATGGGTGCAGAACAGCACTAGGTTTGGCTCTCGGTGGACCCCCAGCGCACATCACCTGTCCTGCAGGTGCACATGGCAGACGCAGTGGCCAGCGATGGAGAGGCGGGGCTCATGCTGGGGGCCTTACCGGGAAGGACTGGAAGAGCTGGAAGGAGCCCAGGAGCCGGATGTAGAGGTGCGAGTGCACCTTTGTGGAGGTGCCGTTGAAGGTGTTGGCCACCACCAGGAACGAGTAGGGCCCCACACTGAAGAACTCCCAGTCGTAGGCGCCAGAGGTGGCAATGGTCTGGTTGGCCTCGAAGAGCCGGGTTGCTGGGTTCCACTTGTAGATGACGCTGTCGATGTTGTGGTTGTCACCTGAAACCAAAGGACTGTGCTGGGGGCAGGGAGGCAGATTCCACAGCCCCATGGTAGCCCTGACATAGCCAGAGCCCAGTCCAAGTCCCTGCCCTGAGGACCACAGACCCACGAGGGCAAGGCCAGCTGTTGGGGACATCCCTTCTTACCTTGAGCCTCTCACCCTCAGCCCCTTTCTGACTCCACCTCTGGGCCTTCACAGGTGCCATTCCCATGTGGAAATGCTTGGTGGCCCCCATCGCCCTCGGGACAGGTGTACATCCTCAGGACCTTCCCGTGTCCTGGAGGTGGGGCCCGCTGTGTCCTGGCCCCACCGCCCACGGCTCCCCAGCGTCCCCACAGGCCAGGCCTTCCCACGCACTGCTACCTCTGCCTGGAGGCTCCTCCCTCTCCACTGTGGAGCTCCCCCATTGGGTTGTGGGCTCAGGGGAGTGCAGAGCTGTGGAGCCTGGGCAGGGTTGGGTCTGGGGGTCCTGCAGGTGGGGAGATGCCCTCAGACCCAGGCCGGCTCCTGGAGCTACAGGATGGCAGGTACTTGTGGCCACTCAGGGCATTGCCCTGGCCTGGAAAGCAGGTGTCCCAGTGCCTCCCAGGCCGGTGCTCCTCACTGTCTCTGCTGGCACAATGGGGGACAGCTGCCTGTCCTCAGGAAACAAGGCCATGGAGGCCATCCAGATCCCATGTCCTCGGCAGCTGTCTTCCGTTGCACACCTGGCCAGGCCAGCTACCAGGCCAGCATCGCTGCCATGGGCCTGGGCCCATACCCAACATCTGCCCTCCCTGTGCTGGTCAGACCTTTCCTGCAGGGAGATTGCTTAGTCAGTCAGTCATTGAGGTAGTCAGTCAGTCAGTTGTCAGTCAGTCAGTTATTACAGTTGGTCAGTCAGATAGTCATCAGTCAGTCAGTCACTGAGATAGGTAGTCAAGTAGTCAGGTAGTTGGTCAGTCAGTCAGTCAGTCAGCCAGTCAGTCAGTCAGCCAGCCAGCCAACCAGCCAGCCAGCCAGCCAGCCAATTACTCATTGAGGTAGTCAGTCAGCCAGTCAGTTAATTTGTCAGTCAGATGGGTAGTTGGTCAGTCAGTCAGGTAGTTAGTTAGTTAGTCAGTCAGTCAGTCAGTCAGCCAGCCAGCCAGCCAATTAGTCAGTGAGGTATTCAGCCAGTCAGTTAGTCAGTCAGGTAGTTAGTCAGTAAGGTGGTCGGTCAGTTGTATCAGTCAGTCAGGTAGTTGGTCAGTCAGTTAGGTAGTTAATAAGTCAGGTAGTCAGGTAGTCAGTCAGTCAGGTAGTTAGTAAGGTAATCAGTCAGCCAGGCAGTTAGTTCGGTAGTCAGTCAGGTAGGCAGTCAGTCATCAGTCAGTCAGTCAGTGAGGTAGTTAAGTCAGTGAGATGGTCAGTCAGTAAGTCAGTCAGTCAGGTAGTCAGTCATCAGGTAATCAGTCAGGTAGTCAGTCATCAGTTAGTCAGTGAGTGAGTGAGGTAGTCAGTTGTCAGGTAGTCATCAATCAGCCAGTCAGATAGTCAGGTAGTTAGTCATCAGTTAGTCAGTCAGATAGTCAGGTAGTCAGTCAGTCAGCCAGTCAGTGAGGTAGTCAGTTAAGTCAGTGAGATGGGCGGTCAGTCAGTTAGGTAGTCAGTCATCAGGTAGTTAATCAGTCAGGTAGTCAGTCATCAGTTAGTCAGTCAGTGAGTGAGGTAGTCAGTTGTCAGGTAGTCATCAGTCAGCCAGTCAGATAGTCAGGTAGTTAGTCAGTCAGTCAGATAGTCAGGTAGTCAGTCAGTCAGTCAGCCAGTCAGTGAGGTAGTTAGTTAGTCAGTGAGGTAGTCAGTTAGTCAGTTTGTTAGTCAGTCAAGTAATTAGGTAGTCAGCCAGTCAGTTCAGTGGTTAGTCAGGCAGTCGGTCAGTCATCAGTCAGGTTGTTAATCAGGTAGTTGGTCACTCAGTCCGTCAGTCAGTCAATTAGTCAGTGAGGTAGTCAGTCAGTTTGGTAGCTAGGTAGTCAGCCAGTCATCAGTCAGGTAGTTAATCAGTCAGGTAGTTAATTATCAGTCAGGTAGTCAGTCAGTCAGTTGTCAGGTAGTCAGTCAGTCATCAGTCAGTCAGGTAGTTAGGCAGTCAGTCAGTAAGTAAGGTAGTCAGGTAGTCAGTCATTCAGGTAGTTGGTCAGTCAATTAGTCAGGTAGTTAGTCAGTGAGGTAGTCAGCTAGTCAAGTAGTTAGGTAGTCAGACAGGTAGTTAGGCAGGTAGTCACTGTCAGTCAGTCAGTCAGTTAGTGAGGTAGTCCATCAGTCAGCCAGCCAGCCAGCCAATCAGGTAGTCAACTGATCATTCAGTCAGTCAGACAGGTAGTTAGTCAGATAGTAAGTCAGTTAATGAGTCAGCCAGTCAGGGAGTTAGGTAATCAGTTAGTTGGAGAGTCAAGTAATTAGTCAAGTAGTCAGTCAGTCAGTCAGTGAGGTAGTCACTCAATGAGTCGGTTAGCCAATCAGGTAGTTACATAATCTGTCAGTTAGACAGTCAGGTAGTTAGTCAGGTAGTCAGTCAGGTAGTTAGGCAGTCAATCAGTCAGACAAGTAGTCAGGTAATTAGTCAGTCATGTAGTCAGTCATCAGTTAGTTAGGTAGTCATCAGTTAGTCAGTTAGGTAATTAGCTAGTCAGTCAGTCAGCTAGTCAGTCGGGTAGTTAGGTAATCAGTCAGTGAGACAGTCAGTCAATCAGTCAGTAAGGTAGTCAGGTAATTAGTAGTCAGAGAGTCAGGTAGTCATTCAGATAGTCAATCAGACAGGTAGTCAGTCAATCAGTCAGTGAGGTAGCCAGTAGTTAGTTAGTCAGCCAGTCAGGTAGTTAGATAGTCAGTCAGATAGTCATTCAGGTAGTCAGTCAGTCAGTCAGTCAGTCACTCTTTGAGGCAGTCAGTCAGTCAGTCAGTGAGACAGTCAGTCATTCAGTTAGCCAGTCAGATAGTCAGTCATTCAGGTGGTCAGTCAGTCAGCCAGTCAGGTAGTTAGTCAGATAATCAGTCAGTCAGGCAGTTAGCCCGTCAGCTAGTTAGTCATTCAGGTTGTCAGTCAGTCAGCCAATCAGGTATCAGTCAGGTAGTCAGTCAGTCAGAGAGTCAGGTAGTCAGTCAGTTAGTTAGTCAGTCAGTCTGTGTTTTATTTAGTCATTCATTTAGTTAGTCAGTCAGGTAGTTAGTCAGTCATGTAGTTAGTCAAGTAGTCAAGCAGTCAAGTAATTAGTCAATCAGTCATCAGTTAGGTAATTAGGTAGTCAGGTAGTCAGTCAGTGAGTCAGGTAGTTAGCTAGTCAGTCAGGTAGTCAGTCAGTCAATCAGTTAGTTGTTTTCAGACAAGGAGGGAGGATGGCAGGCATTCTGTGCTGGGAGTCAGTCTGGCAGTCCATGTTTCTGGGGTGGCTCTGCTGTGGGCAGGTGCCCCAGGGACGACCAGTAGATATCCGTCCCCCAGACAGTGAGGAATGGTCCAGAATGCATGTTCACCCTGTGCTGTGTGCGGCTTATTGATTTTTAATAAGATACATATTCACCCTGCATGCAAATCTTGCTCTGCCCCTGGAATGGTTGCCTCTGGGTATAAAGGCCACACCTGCCCTACCTTCCCGGTGGTTGGCCACCGCCAGGAAGTGCTCCCCATCCACCTCGAAGGCCTCCCAGTCTCGGGCGCTGTGTGTGGCAATGCTCTGATATGGGGTAAACTTCAGCTTTCTGTGGCTCCATTTGTAAATGACAGAGAACTCCTGACCCTTTTCATCTGGTTCAAAATTAGCCACTGCCAGGAAGACCTGAAAGAGAGTAAACCAGGACCACGTGGTTCTGCTTGGGTCAGTGCCAGGGGCCTGGTGCTGAAGGCTTCTGAACATCAGCATCTCTCTCCAGATCCACGGCTGCTACGTGGTGCAGGGACAGAGGACCGAGGCCCCCGCATTACAGGTCATCATGGTGGGATGGGCACAGAGCTGGTCATTACATTCATCAAGACCCTTGAAAATGTCCATATTCTTTACCCAATATTTCCACTTCTATTGCTATCTGAAGGCAAAAAACACAAAAGCCAAAATTCCCAAATTCAGGAAAAGCTTCATGCACAAAAATGTTCTTCATAACCCAGATGACCAGAAAAACTCATCACAACCTGCTCTCCCGTGTTACAGGTGTGATCGCCACGCAAAGCTGTGTCAGGGCAACGTGTGTAAAACATGAACATGGTGCAGTGTGCCCAGGGCTCATAGTGCAGCTGCGTGAACATACAGAATGAAGGGCAAGGTGCATGGTTCATGGACAGTGTGCTTGGAGGCGAGGACACCACGTGAACCTACATACTCGCTTGGATGATGGAACAAAATATTTTCCCCTTTGCTTTTCGGAATTTTCCAATTTTTCTTTGATGCAAAGTTGTTTTTGTAATAAAAAATTAAAACCTTATGATGTCATCAATCAAAAAAAAAAATAGTTATTCACCTGCCACGGTGGATGCAAATGCAGCCTGCATGAGGGTGACTATAAGCCACGGGAGAGCAGTTTCTGTCTGCTGTGCTCACTGCTTTAGCCCTGTGTCCAGACAGGGCCTTGTGGGTGTGCTTGGCACATTGTAGTCCAGTGAGTGACTATTTGGGGGCAGTCAGGAGGTGCTGTCTCCAGGACATGGCTGCGTGGAGTCCAGGGAGTGGACAGAGCTGGGAAGAGGAAACCCCGTCCTTCCCATTGTGATGTCAACCATCTCCCAGACACACCACCTCGATCCTCTGCCCAGAGCAGCCCTGACAGGAAGGTGGCTGCCAGCCTGCAAGGTCCCACCCGTGGCTCCCCTGAGCCTGGCCTCAGCCTTGCATGTGGACATCGCGTGTCCTCAACATTTGAGGAGAGGAAGGATCAGGAATGTCCGTCTTCTAATGTCTTTCTGAAATGATTTGTGGGTTCTTGACCAGCTCATGTAAACACTCTCAACAGGTTTTAAATGTAGTGATAAGGGGTCTATGTAGAACTGGATGGCATCTGGGAGATGGTCTGGTCTTCCATTTTGTGGGAGCTGAGCAGACTGTCTCAAAGTCACATCCTGGATTTAGGGTAGTGGGCTAATGTGTGCGACTCTGTGAGTCTTTTACCACCTGAACGAGGTGTTGACACCATGAGAAACTCCTTTACCTGCAGAATCAGTGTAGGGGCCCCGCCCGTGGACTCGGGGCTTTCCAAGTGAAAGGGGATGGAGGAAGTCACCGAACACAGACTTGCCTTTTTCCCGATGGTGAAATGCCTCCAGGCCTGTGCTTGGTGCGTGGGGATGTTCTGATAGGAGACGAACTTCCCTTCCGTCCACTTGTAGACCGCGGATGTGGCTTTGCGGTTGGCTGTGGCCACGAAAAGCCCCACCTGGGGGATGCGGAACACCTCGATGCCCAGGGTCTCTGAGTTGGTGAACAAGTTCTGATGCTCCTCCACGTAGTCCAGTCTTTCTTTGGCTTGTGATAGAAACATTGTGACTCGGTTAAGACTTCTGAGAACGGAAAGCGAGAGTAATCCTCGCGGGAGCACGATCCCCAAGCCCCAAGCCACAAGCCACGACTCCTGCGCCTCGGCCTCAGGCATCAGTTTTCACATTTCACTCTCACAGGAAAGGCCTGTCAAAGGGAGGCCGCTCACTGCTGCCAGGGGCTTGTGATCCATGCAGCCCCCCAGTGATACCGACAGGATGACGTTTACACATCGTGGCCTTGTTAAAAGGCTCACTGCTTCTGTGGCAAGTTGTGCCCTTGATAATGTGAAAGAGAGTTAGCAGCTCACACATGCGCTAGGCGGAACCTGTGCCCGTTTCTCACGGGTAACCCGTCTGAAGCATCTATCGCCACCTCCACTCACCTCCCCAGCAGCGGGAACAGACTGCTGAGAAGGCTCGCTGTAAAAATAACCTTTCAGGCTCTTCATCTCCTTGGATTTCATCTCTGATCTAGTGGACAGGGAGGGTGTGGGCAGAGGTGGCGGCCAGGCCACCCTACCAGGGAGGCTGCAGGGAGGCAGGCATCGTCTTCCCATAGATCGGGAAGGGGTACCAAGTGATGCCCACCCTGTCAGCCCGTGTGCCATGCCCTGGAGGTTCACATTTCCAAATGAGATGCACAGGCTCAAGGCTCCTGGTGGGGCGGTTTCCTGTCCTGAGTGGTGCCTGCCCTGAGGAGGGCCCGTGGCTGGGAGTCCTGTGGCTCTAGGGAGGGCACTGTCCTGGCTTGCTGGCCATCCTGGCCGCCCCTTGCTTTGGGGGTCAGTACTGATGCTGCCTGTCACTCTCAGAAGTGCCCCAGCGTGACGGCCAAGCCTGAGGTCATTCAGAGGTGGCTGAGGTGCCCCCTTTCCTAGCCTCCACTCCCAGTCATGCTGTGCCAGAGTGGCCCTGCATGCCGATGCCCCGGGTGCAGGGCTGCCTCACCTGCTAACACGGAGACCCACTCGTTGCCAACACACAGGTACAGCCCCTTCCGGCTAGCATCAAACCAGAACTGGGCGTCTTCCATCTCGGTACACGGTGGCCGGGGTCCCAGCGTCACTCGAATGTTGGTTTCTGAGGGGAAGACCAGGAAGATGAGTATCTAGCAAGCCAGTGGCTCCCAAGGAAGACGACGCAGGAGGAGGCCCCAAACCAGGCTGCCCTGCCTCAGCCTCTGCAAGCGGGTCTGGAAGGGTCCCTGCAGGCATCTTGGGACAAGCCTGCCACATCGCAGGTGGGGAAGTGAGAACCTGGCCTACTGGTGATGAAGGACATTGTGATGCCCCCTATATGGTCAGCCCACCCTCTGTCTACTCTGGAAGGCATGGCTTTCCATCCCATTGAGATGGAAAAGCCCTGCTCCTCTGGGCGTCCTCAGCGATTGCACATGGTGCGGCCTCCTTTCGGGAGGGAGTCCCTGTTGACACTGGTGTATCTTAACTACGGCTTGGCTTGGATCTGTGACAGTTTGATCCCATCACTTCCAGTAGTCACACCCCACTGTGGGTCCTAATTCTGCCACTTCTTGACTCTACGTGGGACATCTGTGCACCTGCCAGCCGGTGCTGGCCTGCGGTGTGACACAGCATACCATGCAGCCCGGATGTGTTGGAGGTGGGGGCCCCCCTACCTGGTAACCACCAACCCTGAGGCTCGGGGGCTCGGCTGTTCTCCACCTCTCTGTCCCTCGGGGTGGCCGCTGAGCAGTGGGGATGTGGCGGGGAGGGGCATTTCAGATTCTCCATGGCGGGAGTGTGGTTTAAATAGATACAGTCACCCTTGTAACTTCACACAAGAGAAAGCCAAGTGGGGAGGCCCTCTGGGCCAGGGGGATTGTGGAAGACGTGAGTGTAGGGCCAGAGTGGGCCCAACTGGGGCGTGCTGGTCTAGATAATGGTGGGACAGAGGTGGGGTAGGGAGAAATGGCCCAAACGCTGTCCTTGGGGGGTAAAATGGGATGAGGGATGTCAGATAGCTCTGGACAAAGACTTTCTAAAGTTAGGCCTGCTGTCTGCCTGGGGTCCCCAGGAAGGGGCTGGATGGCTGTCATGGGAGTATTTGGAGGGGAGGGCAGGATGACACTGGCCTGTCTGATGGTGCCGCCTGCCTTCCTGGGGGTGGGCCCCAAGCATCTCCCTGGCCATTGTGACTGCTGCCCCCCGTGGCAGTGACGAGAGGGGCAAGCACATGTGGGGGGGTGCTGAGAGCTGAGCTCTGAGTTCCTGCCTGGTATGAGACCAGGGCTCTTGCGTCTGCCTTTGGTGCGGGGGCCGGCGGCCCCCCTACTAACCGTAGGGATATTTTAGCACCTCGTTATCTTCTGGCTTCCCCGTGAGAGCCTGCAGGACCCGTGGGATGGACAGCACCGCCAGCGGGGCATTCCTGCTGGGACACAGCCTTGGGGTGGCGTCTGAGCCGGGCAGCAGGACCAGCTGCCTCACCAGGCCCTGCGGAGAGAGGGACAGCTCCTTCAGGCCCACGCTGCTGGGGAGGGACCTGCTGAGGAGGGGACCACTGGGCTTGGCCCATCCAGACCCTGGAGGAGGGTGGGGTGGATGGAGTCTAACCTTTTGCAGAGGTAAGTGGGAAGAGTTTACATGATGGTTACTGAGGAGGCCGTGGGAGCAATGGTGAAGAATTGCCCCCCATTCCGAGGGAACCCACAGAAGGGTCTGTGTGAACCTGGAGTGACTGGCTACTCTGCTCATCCAACAGCCCATCCACCCATCTGTTCATCCATGCATTCATCCATCCATCTGTCCATCCATCCATCCATCCACTCATTCACCCACCACTCATCCATCCATTCTTCCATCCACCCATCCATTCATCCATCCATTTATCCATCCATCCATCCAACCCATTCACCCACCACTCAT